AGCCCACGGTCCGGTGGCTTCGAGACATGGGACTGTCGACAGCTGAGATTGCCAAAGTGTTTGTCAGCTGGCCAGCCTTTGTTTCCCTTAGCATTGAAAACAATTTGAAGCCTAAGGTACGTCAGTTGTTGCAGTGGTTTTCCTTTGAGCATGCTCGCGGGCTTCTTGTACGTAATCCTTATATGTTTGGCCGAAGTCTAACGCGCTGGCTTCTCCGGGCCGACGTTCTCAAGCAATGCAACAAGCTTTCGGTGTTTGGGTCCGCAGTGACGCTGACAGATGCTGCTTTTGCCGCGAGGTACATGTGTAAGCAAGAACAGCTGGCGGACAAGTGAAAGCTGGGAAAACCCACAGCTGCTGGATGTTGCGGGTTCATGGGTCGAGAAGTCTAGGATCTAGGGTCTTAACTACCCAGAGAATCCAATACCCCTTAATTAAGAAATATACCTTAAATTGTAGGGGCCTTAATATTATGATTTAAGGTCTATTCCTTAAACTTAATCAAGGGGTATCCGTATTGGGTTCTCTGGTCTTATAGCCCTAATATGGAAACTGGGTTTGCAAGGACGGAGCAATCATGCCAGGATGTCACACTCTGTGATAGGTTCATCTGCACGTACTTGCCAAATCAAGAGTTGGGTTCAGCTGATGCAGCTTCGGGGGTTTTGGCAGTTGGGGTGTGAAGCCCTGAAGCCACGCAGCTACAGGGTTTGGGTGGTGTCAACATGATGCAATACGCCACCTTTGGGATTAAGCAATCCTAAAGCATAACCCTTAGAATCCAAGCAGACAGTGACCACATCCCCAAGGCCCTTATGCTTGGTGCTATATGCGGATCATGCGTCATGGTTTTGCGACCGTAATTGCCTGAAAGCAACTACTGCAGACTGCTGGGCACGGAATGCCGCCTTTGCTGCTATCGACAATCATGCTAGTAGAACTCATTAGTTCGGCAGAAGCTCTGCATGCTGAGGAAGTACAGTTCCTCCGTAGTGATGCTGCAGAGGCAGGCGAAGGCCTCGCCAATCGCTGCTTCACTCGTTCGGTTTGAGATTGCTTCTGCGGGGCTGGTGCTGATGACGGTAAGTCTTCTCGGCCGTGGTTGGCGGAAGTGTATAGTGTTGCCGATGGCCAGTCCTCAGGCTTGCTGCGGAACCCAAACTGCCTCCAAAGGTAGACTACTCAAGAATCCAAGTGCGCCGTGTGCTTTGGACAAGATGAGGGGCTTCAAACTAGTACTGATTGCTTGTATTGTGTTTTCTGGCGCTCAGGTCCCAGATGTTTAGGCATGAGGATTGAGAGCATCATGCTAAGCACCCCAAAGCAAAGCTCGTGAAACCCGAACCCTCAACCTCCCTGGGCTTCAGCGATACAGGGTCTAGATGACCATCCCAGCTTAGAGCCTTAGCCCTCTCAATGGGTCCTACTTTCACTACAGGGCTAATGTAGGGGCCTTAATGCCTTAATAATTGGAATAGGGCTTTGGGGCCCACAATAACCTCCAAAATAAGAAAAGGTAATTATTTAGGCCCCTATGTTACTGAAACCTTGTAGCTTTCTCTTAGGGTCCGAGGCCCAGGTCAGCGGCTGCTCTTAGCACTTCCTATTGAGATCTACTTGGATAGCTGTAAGTGGGGCTGTCAGGGTAACCGTGAGTAAAGCCCATATTAAGGGGCTTATAACCCCACTTGTAACTACCATGAACCTCCAAGTATTGCTTTGTTTTTCAGGGCTGAGCGATGAGGAACATCTGCGCTGTCCTGGCTTGCATAGTCACCAGGTGCACCAGGCTCGGGCGCAGCTCAACCAAGTACTTCGCGAAGTTGAGCCCGTGCGCTGCGTGTGAGCTATAGTCCATAGGTGCGGTCAATGTTGGGAATGGCATATGTTGGGCCTAGGCTGGACTTCGAACTGGCTGGGAAAGCTCAAATTTTAATGTTGGCAACCGCGGGATGATGACTGCTTTGCATCGCAGGTACAGCTGGTCTTTCACCTCACCCGCGGAGAGAAGGCCTGCAATGCTTCTGCTCCCTGGATCGGGTGGGGTAGGAGTTGGAACACAGGAGGGGCTGGTGAAACTTCTGAAGCGCAAGACCCAGCTTGGCAGGGCAGCAAGATCCTCCCCTACGTGTGGAAACTTGGCATGCTGCCGATCGCCGAGGAGCCTTTCTGAACTGGAGCTTAGGGTGTCTTGCCGAGTCGTGGGGTTTAAAGTTGCACGGAAGAGGATTCAGAAAAAAGGCTGTGTGACGTGTCTAGTCGGGTACGTAGGAACTTCTTGAAGCTCTTGTGGGTGAGGATTTGAGTTTTGTGGCTGTCTGAGAGTTTTGCCGTGCAGGTTCTGCTTCCGACGGCGATAAACGCTCCGTGTTGATGCGGTGAGCATCGTAAACCAGCACGAACCAAATGATTTCTATGCAGATACAGCATCGGTTTTCTGCTAGCTGCAGCACTGCCATTGTGATTTGTCGTTACTAGCATCGTCCTGCTATTATTGTCGACGACGCCGTCGATATTTTTTCTTGGCAGAGATGTCCTTGGTCCTTTCCATTTGCCACCACGACAAATACAAAAAGCCTAATAAGCGGCATTGGCATGCTGAGCTTTAGCATGGTTTGTGCAAGAGTGGTTCTCGTCTGACAGTGTTGTCGAGGTTATGACTTTATGGCGACTTTTCGGGCGCATGTTTCGCACTGTGCATTTGCCCGTTTTCACCTGGAACGATGTTTATCCTCGTTGCAAGTATGTGCCTGACACTCGGTTTGGACAATGAACCCTAGACCCACATCCCCCGGCATTGCCATCCCGCTGTGTAGCCGCCTCGCCTGAGCGGAGGACGGGAAGTACGTCAGCCCAGAGGTGCACGCACTCCGTTGGTTTCGTTCAATTCTGAGCTGCGTGTGACAGAAGTGACCGGAATCATAGTGGATTGGAGTCCAAAGCGGTTTTGATCAGACATCCAGGTACCACGGGTAGTACCATCTTTCTTCCATAGTCTCGTGGACGGTGACCACTCATTGAAGTTTCGGTGATGGGCGCTTTCATGTTGCATCTATGGAGCTTCGAGTTCAAGTGCTTCAGTGTCCAGACACTTCTGGGAGTATGACAATGAAGCGGCTACTGTACCGCTTCCTACAGTCCCTGGTGAATTTCATGGTTTTGCTGATTTTCGGGCAAGTTCCGGGCTGTAGTATTTGCGGGGCGCGGTGTGTTTAGGCAACAGGGTTTTGGGTTTTGACACTGTTGACAGGGCGCAGGCGGTGACGCTTGAGTCGGGGAAAGCAAGTTGGTGCCAATATGATGAAGATTCGGACCGAGACAAACCCTGTAGGTTCTTGAGGCGACACGTTTTGTGCCACACAGCATGTCGTGTTCTGCTTGCAGGGCATGACATCGGTCTTGCAATCTATGGATTTGTTGCGAGGTGTGGAGGCTACGCCAGGAGATGGAAAAGCGGAAGCGTGAGAAGAGCCTTTCCAAGAAGAAGGAAGCGGACGAGGACAGACGCCCGAAGTACTACATTTGTTCTGATGTTCCTTTTGTTTTTGGCACAATGTGCCTCGTTATGGGCGGACCGTTGAATGTTTGTCGTGAAGGCCAGCAGTCGTGTGGAGGAGGTCGCGCTGATAGGGTGGCCGGGGCAGTTTGTGAGAAGGAGGGAGCAGACATGGTGGTTTTCAGATGTCGGGTTTTCCCGACTCTTCAACTCCTCCTGTCTTGCATATCTCCGGTGTGATATGAACCGCACCCGAAGATCTGCTGGCGCGTTGCAAGTTACTGTCTCGTGGTTCGGATAGGCTTTTGAGGAAGTGGATCAGCTCTGATTTCTCAAAAGGTCAGAAAGATGTAGAACTTGGGTTGCAGCTAGGACAAGCATAGCAATCTCGAATTACGATACCGCCTAGGTAAGTAAGCTCTAAGAAGACACATCAGTAGCTAAGGAGTTTTCGTTCGATCAGAACAAACACGTGCTATTGTTTGCTGGCAGAACACATGACATGTCATTATGTACCAGTAAGGGGCCATCTCAAGCCAAAGATACGGCAAGAAAACGCACTGCATTTCTTGCCCGTCTGCCTGCTAGGACGAGCCCAAAGAACCGCGGGGCGTCCCAGACAGACGATTGGGCAAAGTTGTAGGGCCTTGGTGTTGAAGCCGACTCCTCCTTGAAACTGTGCAGGGGGGAGGGAAAGCTAGTTTGGACATGAGAATCGAGTTGAAGACATTGCTTCGGATTTGTGTCATGAACCCCACATCTCTGATAGCACCGGGAGCCTTTGTAGTCTTGTCCCTTTTGAGCATACAGGGAATCTTCTGCTCCGAGGATTCTGTAAATTCCTAATCTCTAAAAGTTGGGCACCCTTAAGGCGAAACCAGGAACCTTGAGCTTGTCCGAAGCCCCCCAATGTCCCTTTCTCAAGCCCCCATGCCCCCTGTAGCGTAGTTAAGGGTGGCAAATGGGACTTCCAAGCCTGAGTCCTTTAGCCAGGCCTCTTGGTGCCTTCAGTGTGTCATGTTTCGCTCAACATGCTTGTGAAGATTACCCCCTAGCCTGCTTCTGGTGAGCTTGTGGTTGCTCTCGAGCCAGCGCCCCCCAAGCCTCTCGGGAAATGCGAGTGTAGGGTCCCTAAAGGCTTGATTCAAATTGCAGCATTACTACATAAATCGATGTTCAAGGGGATACGATATTGATCCTGGCCAGGATATTTCTCAACACTCAGTTCCCAAGGTTTCAGTCCCGAGAGCTACCCTAACCCCTAGTCCATAAATCCTAACCCCAACTAAGACCATGAAGCCTAAACCTCTAAAGGGGTGGGAAAACAAAAACTAACCTTCGTAAAACCCTACAACCCTAAATTGCTTTTTTGCCTAAAGCCCTAAACCCCAAACCTTTGCAAACCCTACAACCCTAAATTGCTGTTTTCCCTAGAGCCGTGAAGCCTTGCATCTCTGGCAAAGGCCCAGATCCATCGACCTCTTCTCGAAGGCGGCTTTTGGTGCTGTGCATTCCAGGGCCCATGGTGCTTGGGGGAGGGGGGGGGGGGGAAATATTGGGGCGTTCATGTTGCGGTCTTGGAGTCTTGGGCTTAGGGTTTGTAGAGTTGAAAATTTTGGTCGGAATATCCTCCACATACTGCATATAGAAACTTTGATATCTCTCAATCCCGTTGTAGTCATGACCTGTTCGGGTCGTAAATTCTTCTCAGATAAGAATGTTCCGGTGGCCAAATTCCCGCTGGGGCCTTCGCTCATGGCCTCGTTTGACATTCTTACAGCTCTTAACCTCAGCATCACAAGAAACCAACCTCTACTCTGCAAACCAACTCCGCTAAACTCGACATCCCTTAAGCTCTCCGGATCTTCCAGAGGTTGGCATGGAGTCGCTCTCCGATGCTGCCGCCTGCGTAATTCAGCAGACATTCTATGCCCTACAGAGCTCGGCGCCCAAGTACTTCTGCTCTGCGGCTTGAAGGGTTTCGGCCTCAAGGTTTATAAGGTCTAGGCAATTTAGGTGCAGAAGCTCAGGCGTTGAGCGATTGAGGTTCCGCAGCCGGACCTTTGCAGCACAGGAAGGCTTTAGGTACCAAGGATCACGATGTCAAGGTTTGTGCATGTATGGGTTCGTCTCGGGGCCGGGTCCCCTGGGTTCCAGGACAGAGAGGGCTTGCTGCTTTTGGGGAATACGAGACTTGTAGGAGACGTAGCGTAGAAATTGAAAGCCTTCAACCCACAACACCCTGTGTGACCGACCTGATTCCAGGCCACCGAAAGAGCAATCAAACTTATGACAATTGCAAAGGGCCGTGCAAAACAGCTTCTGTCATAATCTGCATCGTCTTTTCCGTCCTGTTAATGTGCAGCCAGCTCAGGTGGGCAACGCTGCAGGCAGCTTGGTGTTGGGTTCGTTCAGGGCCTCTGGGGGGCTTTGCAGAAGTGGCTTCTTTGAAGGCTACGACATTGGGTCTTGCGTACCTTCACAACCTTCAACACCGGCTTTGATCTTCGAGACTATTTGGTCCAGAGGGCCCTTCATTACAGGAGGCTACGATGTGGGGTTCACACTTCTGAGAAGGAGCTACACATTGATGCAGGTGTCGGGTGTCGGGTGCAATAGTAATGCCCGGTTGTTGTCCCTGCGCGCGTATGCTCTGTTATAACCGGATATGCACCCACAACTTGTTCCTGTTCTGCTATTCCAGTATGATGCTCCTTTCAAGCAGTGACAGATATGTCCCTTGGGAATTACAAGTTTCCGCTTCGGGTCTGGAGCGTGCATCAAGCAAGATTTCCTGGTCTGTGCCTTTGCACCGGCTGCTCCGGGCCACCAAGCCCTAAACCCAACCTGAAAATTCTTCTCCAGGTTTCGTGGGACACGAACCTCCACGACTAGCAAGATCATCTCTAAGAGCCTCCTTTGCTTGTGATGCCGTGCTGAAAAAAACCTGTAACTTACTGTATGTTGCAGGTAAACGTGGGGACGAGTCACCATGGAGACTATGGATCATCCTGTGCCTGACGGTTTAGGGTTTAGGGTTTAGGGTTTCAAGTCCCTGGTTACTTGGGGGGTCGGGGGACTTAGTAAATTGTTATTTTATAGACTTATACGTACTATAGCCCCAATTAGGGTCCCTTCTAGATTACTTATACGTGTACTTATTACCTACTTACTAAGTCTCCCGACCCTCCAAGTACCCCACTGGCAATGCAGGCAAGCGATGGGATGTGCAAAGACCCTCGTGGCCGAGATTGTGAACACCGCAGGGTGGCTGAGAGGGTAACTGCAACCCCGGACTCTCTTGCGATATTGAGCTACATACCACCCATGTCGGGGAGGTTAGTGGCTGTGGGCTCTTCCATTACTTTCAGGCTTCGGACTTGCGGCTTTCAAAGACCTGCAAGGAGTGTGGAGGCAGTGCTCACACTGCAGTGGCACGGGGGGCATCGTTTCATGGATAAGGTTGCACAGGCTAGAACACACAAGAGCTTGAAGTGCTGAAGGTTCCACTGCCGCGCCGAAGGGTGTAGGGCTCCAAGGTTATAGGATCCTCTTGAACAGGCCTCTCAATCCATGGCGGAAGCTGCCTAGGTGTTTGTTGAAAGCACACAAGACCGCGTTTGTCATCTAGGGTAGGCTCGTCTGTCGACAGAAGCCCGAGAGCCCAAGCCGTCAACAATGGTCTCAACACCTCGAGGCTCTTGTATCATGGCCTTATCACCTCAATGCTACCTGTATATGCACAGACGTCTCGGTTCAAAACGCAGCCGCGACACCTCTCACCGTGCAGAGGCTCCTCTGAGAGGACGCTGTTTCTGGCTTGTTGAAGGCTTCTTGCTTAGGGGGAACATCACTGGCTTCCACATGCTGCTTTTCCAGAACGCTTGCATGCGTGTAGCAGAATGTGCCTAAAGTCCCGTTCTGAAGTTCGCACGTGTTTTGCCCGGTTTGGCTACCGATAAGAGCCTTCGACATCGCTCGAGGACCCCTGCCTGCTGCTGCGCACCTTGGCTCCATGCATCCACTTAGGGTAGGGAGGTGCAGCAAAACTTTGGTACGGTAGCCAAAGTAGCACCTGCACCGAGTGCAGCCGGCATGTTCGGTCAGGGTCACAGCTTGGGTTGAAGCCCGCACCCTGTGCATCCTCTTATCTCATTGCCATATGCTTGCTACTGCTGGTGTTGTCCCCCGATTGCTACGATTGAAACTATTGCTATTAAATGCTAGTAGTACTTTTGCGAATGTCATTACTGCCATTTCTACTATTGATATTTATCACGGTTTTTCTTGCCGATAAGATCCTTCACGCAGGGTGTACCACTCAGGGCACTTGGTTGAATCTGCAAGGCTTAGGCATATCGAGGCTCCAAGAAGTTTGCATGTCCCAACCTTCAAATTCCAACCCCGAGCAGCTGGATTTTATTTTACATCCGTAACCTTTAACCTTTGTGGGCGTCTCCGAACGTGTGTTCGAAAGGAAAACCGTGTTTTGTACCAGGCGACTCTGCAGCTGGCAGTAAGTCTGCACTTTCTTACGTTACTTAGGAAAATGCTGCAAGCACCCATCATAAATCCAAATTCCCGAAACCTTATAAGAAGTATATAGCACAACACGGGCTTTCGAATCCTACGCTAAACCAAAGGTCCCAGAAGCCTGCCCAAGACTTAAGCCCCTGCAGCCATCCTACACTAGCCGAAGGCAATAGAAACCCCCAGACCCTAAACCCCCCAAGCCTTGCCGGCCTTGTGCGAGTGTGAGAGTCGAAACCCCTCGCCTGGCTTGTCCGAGTTGTGAGAGCCTAAAACAACCCCTAAACCTTAAAACCCCAAGCTCGAGGTAGCCACGGCGGCACCTTCGCCGCCCGACGTACCCGCCCTACTGGCGTCCGTCTATGCAACTGCGGCTGAGGCAACAACGCAAGACGGGTTTTTGGGTGTTGGATTTGGGGTTTTGAAGTTTAGTGTTGAGTTCGAGTGGGGCTGCTTACGACTTCCACTTTTAGTCTGTCGGGTCTTGGGCCTAGACGTGAGGGTGAAGGCTGTCGGATCTCCGGTAAATCTGGGTCCAGGCAGCCCAGTAGTAGGAATGAGCGTTGCCTGACTTGATCTCGCCAGTCGCCTGAAATGAGCTGACCAGAATAGGGTATCGAGGTAAATTATACTATGGCAACCCTAAAACCCCCAAACCCTGTCTGAGCGCCGAAACCCGTAAACCCTCAACCCCTACACCCCAAACCGGACGTTGTTGAGTCGAGGCCACCACCATTTCCAAGAGCCCAGATGCACGAACCTCCTCTTGGCCGTTCTTCCCGGGACCTAAGCCTAAGGCCCTAAAGCCTTAAGCCCCAGACGTAGGAGTTCACAAGTCGTTCGCAGGTCTATGCTCCAAGCTTCTGTTGATTTTGAGCCCCCTTGCTGCTACACACACCTGAGCCATTGAAGATTCGAAGGAGACGGGGAACCCCCGGCCGCGTCCAAGTTGAAGCCGGCAACTTTAAGCTCCTAAAACCCGAAGCCCCAAGCAAGGCCTTGCAGCCCCTTAGCCCCAAAGACCCGAAGAGGCCCTGAAACTTCGGTGTGCCGAGACATCGTTGTAGCCTTTGCTTGGACCAGAACGCCACACCCCGCGGTCCGCCACCACCGCGGCCACGAATAACGGGCACTGCGGACCGTGGATTTGGGCGAGGCTCTGTTCAGGGTTTAGGGTAAATTAGGGTCCCTTTTCAGGTCCTTGTGTAAGGGTGCCATACTCCTTTGCAACAGAAACAGGGACCGTTATTTGGAGAACCATTTGTGTCGGGCTCAGGCTTTAGAGAACTTGTATAATCGAGTAATTTAGAAGCTCTTGGTCAGGAAACATGGAGTCCCTAGCTCTTCACCTCTGGATGAGTTGTGTTTTGACGGGGATAGGTTGTAGGGTTTTTGATGTGGGGGGGGGGGGGGTCCCTGACATTGTTGGTTTTGTCTATGGGTGTTTCTAAAATTCTTGGGTGGAGAATTTGAGTGTTGGGCTCCAGGTTTTGTGTGAGCTGGGTTGTGTCATCATCAAAGTCGACGCAGTTCCAGTCTGCTCGACGAGAAAGTGGCTCAGGCAGATGCCAAAAGGTGATTTGGAATTGGAATCTAGAGTTGAGGGGAATGAACATACCATGGGGTTCGTTGTATGTGTTTTTGCTGGGGATCCGTATGTTCGCTTGTTCTGTGTTATCCTTTAGATAGGGTCCCTAACAGTGTGGCGGAGTTTTGGGTGCAGGGACCTGGGTTCCGGGGACGTTGGATTAATTTTAGGTGAAGCTGCGACGGCTAGAGACACACTACTATGGAAGAGTTAGGTAGGTAGACTTCCAGTTCAGGTGCATGTTTCCAGCTTGCTGTATGATAATAGCGGTCCTATTCAGGATAGTAGCCTCGATGGCTACCGCGCCTCATCTGCTATGACGCTTGGACAACTCTACGCCACAGCCCAACCGAACCTGCTAAACATTGTTGAGCGCTTCTTTCCGACTGGCAGAGTTCTGCATGACCTGATGCCCATGCCAGGCCGGCTCTATGACAACATCGTCGAGACAGCGACTTTGCACAATAGCCTCGCCTATCCCGGACCACCCTCCCGCCCTAGGACCCAAAGCTTGAACCCGTAGATCCTGCAGCCGTTAGGCCTTAAGCCCTCGTTTGTAGTCTTGTTTGCTTTGGGATTCTAGGGTGTACCGGTCGAAAGGTTTTTCCTTCCCACCATCCAGTGAAGTCAGAGACTAACCGATCATGCGACAGCTCCGATAGCTTCGGGATTCGGTGGACTAGGGAGGGAGGGGGCTGTGGTTTTGTTGTGGGCGGGGCCCTTCCCAGCAGATTTGGGCCTCCACATCGGTAGTTCTCGAAATCGGCTTCCTTTTTGGGGTCCGCAAAATAGTACGGCACCCCTATAAAAAGGGACCCCAAAAGAAATCCTAACTTAGAGAACTACCCACATGGATCCTTTTATTGTCAACTCTGCGGGCCATGGCTCATCAGCTCGAATCAAGAGGGTTTGGGGCTGTAGGGGTATCGAAATCACGGTGCCAGCAGTTTTCTTCAGCAAAGGTTGAGAGCCACCAAAGTAAAGAGTCTCCTTGCTGTGGCCTTTCAGGATTCGGCCAACGCAAGGAGTCGAGGCAGGCATCGTGAATACCTGCCCCAGCGAGCCTCTGGAGCGTGCTGTTCGTTGGATGTAGCCGCAGGCGCGGTGAAGGCATGAGGGGTCCCATGCGTCGGAAGGGGTGGAGGACTTTGACGTGTCCTTTCCTAACCCTTGCCTTCCTCTCCTGCGATCTCTGTGCGGTTCCGAGTCCTCCGGGCTGGTGGAAGGCCGGGCGTGCCCGGCAAAGGATGGGAAGCGTGGCAGAGGCGGAGCTTCTTTCACATCTGGCGGTGCTTCTGCAGCCAGAGGAGCCGATCGAAGAGCTCTTCCGAGACTTTCGAGTGGAGCAGAGCGAAGGATGGAGTCGGAGCATTTTGAGCCCGGATCTGACGGTATACGGCGCCTTGCAGACCGAGGAAGCAGCTCTTTTCTTGGAATACGACGGTTACTACCGCCACCTGTCGCCAGCAGGGATAGCAGCTGACATCCGGAAGAACAAGGCACTTCTGGACTTTGCGCCAAACGGATCGCACGTTTTACGCATAGCCCATCATCATCGGGGGTTGGAGCTTTCGTGTGAGATGGGGGAGGTTGTTGTTGACTTGTGGCAGCTACACCACGAAGCATCATTGATCAACGCACTCCGTCAAGTCGCTGTGTCCTTGTTGAAACAACAAGGAAGTGCATTGCAGCCTGATCAACGAGCAAAGCTGCAGACCTTTGTGGAGACTCCCGGCAGGGGCGGTATGCACGCAGCAGTTGAGTTTACGGAGAGAATAGTAGCGGAGCGTGAGCTTGAGTTCGACCCGGCACCTTTGCATGAGTCTCTGCAGTCACAGTTGAGTTTGTCCCATTCGGAAGCCGAAGAACTAGTGGTAAAAATTATAAAACACCCAGCTCTATCACGCAGACGCGTTGAGCAACAACTCCAGCTTGCGATGCAGTTACTGGAAGACTTGGGGCTCGAAAAGGCTCAGGTTGCCAAAGCAATTGCTCGATTTCCACCAGTTCTGGGCTACAGCATCGAAGAGAACT